ATGAGGAAAAGCAGAAACTAAAGATAGAGAGGAAGCTGAGGTTTTTGCAGCAACCAGCTGCTGATCTTTAGTGAGAAGAAATTACGGAATCTCATACAGTTTATCTTGGTACAGTTTGTTTATATCCTGAGTAATAATACCCCAAAATAGAATCCATTCTAAGCCCAGCATTTTAGGGAGATCTGAACAGTTTATTTTAAACTCCATTTAAAAACACAACAAACAATATCTCCTAAAGCATGATGTAGTATTTTGATTATAACCACAAGGAATCCAAGAATAAACCTCTTCGATCATTGAGTTCCTTTTAACTAATAATTACAGAGATTTCAAACCATGCGTTGGGCCTCTCAGTTGCCCTTATGGGACAGGCCAGTCTGATTGTCATCAAGTCAATGTGCTAAGCTCCTACATGCACATGCAGCTAGAATCAGCTCAGATGAAAAGCTTCTTTATGCAACATTACTGTGAATTTTTGTTCGTCCTTTTTATTGGGAAGGCAATGGTCAGCAATCTACAGACAGTGGTGAGACAGAATTGATTGGTTTGTTACAACACTCTTGGCAGCTAACACTGCTAAAAAATAAGAGAGGGAAAGATTTTCTCTTCTTTCTCACTATTTCACATTGAGGTTGATACTCATTTTCTTATCTGCTTTTGGTAGGAATTTAGACCATCATCCAGGGAAACTTCACTTAGTCTTTCTAGTTTGCTTAGTAGACATTCTTCTGATCGCTTTAGGGGCTTTAACTCACTTCATCCTTCAAATATTCCTGTGAGATGAAAACTTTCTACAGATGGATATATCGAAGCATGGAGAGATTATGTAATGTATATGAATAAAATTGACATTTGAGATTTGATTATTGTTTAAAGCTCTTGTCTATGTTCTTTAGGAACATTGGTTCTCCTATTTGCTACTTGTTGAATTATTTATTTAGTGGAGGGTTAAAGTTGTGATTTAAAGTTAATTGAAAGTATGTCATTGTGAAAATTAAAAGAAAGAAAGCAAGGAGGAGGGAGAGTGGAAGTGAGGGAGGGAGCCAGGGTAGGGTAGGAAGTATCATTATTATCTTAAATTGTATATATCAAATACATGAAATTTGCTCAGTTTATATAAATAATAAGACAAATAATAAACATTATGTCCAAAGTTTCACAGTTAATGGAGGATAGAGTTGCAATTTGAACCTAGGTTATCTATTTTCAGAGTCTATGCTGTTAACTTATGTACCTTGCCTTGAGTTTATAATGATGTATGAAGTCATGAACAATTAATGTCTCTTTAAATAATGCTCCATAAAGACGTCTATGGGTAAACAAAACAAATTTGATAAACTCTCCAGCTATTCCAGTTCTTCAATATCTGTGGAAAAAAAATACACCTCTGATAGAATTCTGTACAGCTTAACCTGTTTAGGAAAAGGAGTGCAGCTGCATATAAACATCAGAACGAATTTCAGCAGATTCATCCACTGTAAAATGATCAGAAATATGGAATAAGCATAAGGTAAAAGGATGTCTGTTACAATGTGATTGAAGAGGGAAAGAGGAACAACTGAACACTTTCTGTCCTGAATTGGAAAGTCAACTCTCTTGCTTAGCTGGAAAATATGTGTATGTTATTAATTGCATGCCATGCATGGTTATTAGTGTACAAGCACTTATTTAAACATCATCACAATTTTGTCAAGTGGATATTGTCTCCAGTTTACCACTGCAGTAAGTGAGGCACGGGAATATTAGGTAATTTGTCCAATGGGTTGGAGCCAGGTATTTAATACAGGCCACTTGGCTGCAGGATTTGGGCTTTAGCCACCATGTACCTAATATGCTTAGAGACCCTATAATTGAGAAATTTTTGTTGTCTGTTCTCTGTTTCTCATTTTCTGTTATTTTCTTGCCTTCCTATGAGTTACTTGAATTCAATTTTATTTATTTACAGTGCTTTTAAGTGTTTCTTTTTTTAGAGTTGTTTTTGCTCTGTTTTATATTTTACGTACACAACTTATTACTGTCTACTGATGCCAATATTTGCCAGTTTGAGTGAAGTGTAGAAATCTTATTTCTTTCACTCTCCTTCATTATAGGTGCCCTAAGTATCTCCTCTATGTATGGAAGTAATTCAAAAAGTTCATGTAAAATGGAATTTTAAATGTTTTGGTACAGGCCGGCGCCGTGGCTCAGTAGGCTAATCCTCCGCCTAGCGGCGCCGGCACACCGGGTTCTAGTCCCGGTCGGGGCGCCGGATTCTCTCCCGGTTGCCCCATTCCAGGCCAGCCCTCTGCTGTGGCCAGGGAGTGCAGTGGAGGATGGCCCAAGTGCTTGGGCCCTGCACCCCATGGGAGACCAGGAAAAAGCACCTGGCTCCTGGCTCCTGGCTCCTGCCATTGGATCAGCGCGATGCGCAGGCCGCAGCGCGCCGGCCGCGGCGGCCATTGGAGGGTGAACCAACGGCAAAAGGAAGACCTTTCTCTCTGTCTCTCTCTCTCACTGTCCACTCTGCCTGTCAAAAAATAAAAATAAAAAATAAAAAAAAAGAAAAAAAAATGTTTTGGTACAAAAAAATTGATATCAATGCATAACTTTTCCATAACCAGCATTTTCTATGAATTTTTTGAAGATCCTCATCTTTTGAAAACCATATCATATATTGTCATAATTTGTGTTTCACCCATCAAATGTAACAGAAAACTTAAAAAAATTGTATTAACCTATATTTCTGATCTTTCTGTGTGGTTGCTTCCTTCCTGACATTCTAAGAGTCCTTCTTGTATCTTTTTTTTTGGTTGGGTTTAGAATTTCCTTTGATTGTTCTTATTTAGTAGATTTGCGATGACAAATTTTTTTTGTTACCCTCCATCTGAGAATATCTTAATTTCTTCTTAATCCTTGAAGAGTATTTTGGTTAGAAATAAAACTCTGATTCTTGTCTTTGAGCACTTAAAAAATGATGTGTCACTTGCCTCTGGTCTTTATAGGTTCTGATGAGAAGTCTGACACATTCAAGTTGTTTACCCCCTTAGGTAATACATCATTTCTCTCTGGCTGCTTTCAAGGTTCTTTCTTTATCTTTAATTTCCAGAAGCTTAAGCATGATGTGCCCTGAAGATTTCCTTGGGTTTTAATCTGTTTGGGTTTCTCTTAGTTTCTTTTATATGTACATTGTGTCTTTTGGCAAAGTTGGGGAATTTTCAGCTATGATTTTTTCATTTTTGAATAGTACTTTGGCCTCTCTTCTTTCTCCACTTTCCTGGGCTTCAATGACATAAATGTGGTTTTTTGTTATAGCCCTGTGTATCTCTGAGACTCTAATTGTTTATTTACTTTGCTTTTCCCTCTATTATTTAGTTTTATTAATTTTTTGAAAAGATTTATTTATTTATTTGAAAAGCAGAGTTACAGAAAGAGAGAGAGGAGAGATGGAGAGAGAAATCTTTGATCTGCGGGTTCACTCCCATAATGGCTGGAATGACCAGAGCTAGGTCAGGCTGAAGCCAGGAGCAAGGAGGTTCTTCCAGGTCTCCTTTATGGGTGCAGGGGCCCAAGGACCTAGGCCATTTTCTGCTGCTTTTCCAGGCTCATTAGTTGGTCAGAGTATGTCATTACTATGTCATAAGGGCCCTAATGCAGAAGAGAAGCTCCTTAAAGGGATGCCTGTTGATTGTACACAGTGAGTGGGTTTTAGAACATACATGTTGAATTTGATTTTAAATATCATGTAGGAGTGTAGTCTCGGGAAATACTGTTTTCTTTATTTATTTTTTTTTTTAAAGTGCTTATTGGGGGAAACCTGACAGACTGCAGGGAAGGGATGAAGGAGAAAGAGAGAGAAGGAGAACATAAGAGTAAGATCAAGAGAAAAAATGAGGGAGAGAGATCAAGAGACACACAGAGAGAAATCAAGAGAGAGAGGGAGAGAGAGAAACATGTGTTCAGGAACAGGTCCTCCTAAAAGTTTGCCTGGGGACAGACGGGCAGGGAAGTCAGAGCAGCAAATCCCATTTGTTTTCCTTTTCTTGAATGATTATGGCACCTTATCTTAATGTAGCACTGTCTTTCAATTTTGCTTTTAGTTTTCACATGACCTTCAGTGTCTTATGCATAAGATGGTACAATGATGTCTACATGCTAGAATGCTATGAATGAGATACTATTATCTACAGTTCAGACAGATCCTAAGGGCTTTTTTTTTTTTTTGAGAATTAATGTGATGATAAATGATGGAGATGATGAAAATAGTATTTTATATTTTATGAAAATACTCAAATGTTAATGACTAGTATCTTATTCTTTTTAGGTACACTTGTGTGACATTTTTATTTTTATTTTTAATTTGGAGATGAGGAAACTTAGAGTTACACATGTTAAGTGCTTAGCCAACTAAGTTAAACACTAGAACTTGGCTTCAACTCACATCTTCTGCATCCTAGTTCAGTGATCTTCACATTGTTATTATTATTCCAAATTATTTTATGGTTTTGGAACATTCTCCAGGCTCCCTTGATAATAATAAACTCCACCAGGGCTGGCGCCGCGGCTCACTAGGCTAATCCTCCGCCTTGCGGCGCCGGCACACTGGGTTCTAGTCCCGGTCGGGGTGCCAGATTCTATCCCGGTTGCCCCTCTTCCAGGCCAGCTCTCTGCTGTGGCCCGGGAGTGCAGTGGAGGATGGCTCAAGTGCTTGGGCTCTGCACCCCATGGGAGACCAGGAGAAGCAGCTGGCTCCTGGCTTCGGATCAGCGCGGTGCGCGGGCCTTTGGGCGCCGGCTGCGGCGACCATTGGAGGGTAAACCAACGGCAAAAAGGAAGACCTTTCTCTCTCTCTCTCTCTCTCTCTCTCTCACTGTCCACTCTGCCTGTCGATATAGAGTATATTTAAATGATGAAGGAGAGAAAAATATAACCTCACCAGGCTCATGTCCCTCTGTGACATGTAGGTGGTAAAGTTGCATGTTTCTTACCACAGAGACCATCACTTATATCAGGAGCCAGCCAATGACAGCCCATGAGGCCAATCTACATCATTTTATTTTAAATGCAATACAAAAAAACTCATCCGTTTGAGTATTATTTTTGTTTTCACACACCAAAGGCAGTGTTATATAGTTGTGACAGAGTATAAGCCAGCATAGTATCAAATATTTATTATCCAGTCCTTTATAGAAAAAGGTTTACTGAACTCTGACTTTTGTCATCATTCCACATCCTACAGAGCCAGTGCCCTGAAAGAATGATATTCATGAATAAGGTCAGCAGGTGCCCTTTTCAGTTCCTGACTGACAGCTGAATTGAGCTGGGAAAATAGTGCCCCCTCATTTACCCTTGTTTTAGCCCCGGGAGAACCTTTGGTCCCCTGGACACTGGGAGCATTTCTTCCTAAGAGTCTCTCTGAGCTAACTTCATTGAACATCCAAACTGGGAGGCAGAGGCATTAGAAAACCTGCTTTTCAACATCCTTATCCAAGGAATGAGAAATCAGAGACCCACAGAAAGGAAGCAACTCCTCCCAAGTTAGGCAGCAGTTGGCAGTTAGCATAGAAACCAGGAATCCTGATGTCTTGTGGTTATGTGAAACTGGAACTGAATTGGACTGAATTCTATTTTCTCACTTGTGGACTGCAGGTGTGAATTTTTATCCAGCTGTGTTGTGCTGCATAGGAAGAGGACATGGAGAGGTTAAATGAATCCTGAGTAGCTCAGTTGGTTAGAGTATGGTGCTAATAAATGAATCATAAGGCAGCATCCAGAAAATTCTCTTGGATCTGGGCTTTTGAGTCTAAATATACACACTAAGCAGCATCCCCTTGTTTTGCTAAGAAAAATTACAAACAGAAGGATAGACTGAACTGTTCTACTTGGTCTGTTTGGACTTTGCTTCTCTCTTCTTCTATTTCACTCTTGGCTAAATACAGTGTTGATGTTCCCGTCTGACCTGATGGCACGGTGGTCTGAGATCAGCCCTAGACTGGGACAGCTGCTCAAATGCATGCGTGAACTCACAGAGTGAAGGAGTTCTTGGAGGGTGAGGCTAGGTTACTGTTCTGGTTTCTGAGTTTCTTTGTGTTGTCTCTGGGTGAAGGTCATAGTTCTAGCATTTATTAAGTCATCAGTTATGTGGAGGTCATGTGATTCTATAAGTGAGAAAAACCAAGAATCTTGTATTTAGGGCACGTAGGCCTATCCACTGGGTTCACGGTATTTTTTGGCCCAGTGCACCTGCATAAAGCATTTTGCCCCAACAGATAATTAAGCTTGACAAGACTCTCAATGGAAAGCCAGGACCAGAACCACAAAAGGCCCAGCAGGCAGGCAGGTAGGCATGGAGAGATGGGTCAAGAATATATAACTAAGGGTTATTAGCATTGATTGGGCAATTTTTATTAAAGTTATCTGTTTTTAAAATTTTTAGATGACTCTAACATTGTTGATTACTGCAGGGCTGGGTGTGGGACCTGGGTTCTGTCTGCCTAGCATCTCGCCTCTTGTTCTAGTAGCAGTACCTCCTGGCTTTAGGGAGCCCCCCTCTTCTTTACTCCATGAAGCTTGAATGAAGCATCTGGTTACAGGGCTGCTGACCTCTGGTCACAGGTGGATGTGGTTCAGGGTAGGCCAACTGGGTTCTCCCAGCAACTTCCCTCCTAACTACAGAAGGTAGGTAAGGCCGAGGCCCCTTCAGTGATGCTTGCCTTCCTGTGGGGATGCCCGAATCTAGCCCAGGGCCCAATGTTCCCAAGGCTGGCTTGTGCTCCCTTCAGTTTTTTACAGTGTCGTTATAGTTTGTCTGTATGTATTTTTGCATAAGTTAGTCATTTTCTGCTTCTGTTGCCCACTGAGAGTTCAGATGGTAATAAGGGGTCTGAAATATCTCAACTTACTATTTGTAATTTTACATATTCAGAAAAACACCATGGGATATGTACTATGACTTCTGTGGAAGGAACACATGGAGGAATTGCAATCAGCTTAGATAAGTGATGGAGGTTGATGCTGGCAACAAGGCAAAGATCTGAGATTGGAGCACAGGGTTGTGATATCTTGGAAACGTGAATGCAGGGTGCAGCTGAGGGCAGGCACTGGGACTCTGGGTTTCAGGAAGCACCCAGAGGGGCTCCAGGCAGGCCATTGCTCAGAGAGGAACAAGAGCCCAGCGTCTACCCGGCTCCTCCTTCACCTTTTTATTATTTCCTGGAAGCAACATCTTTTCATATGGGAGATTAGGGCATATTTCTCAGTCAAAAATTATTTTCTATGTGAGGGCAATGGAGCTCCAGAGATGTCAAGTGGAGTCTGACACAGAGTAGGGCCCCATAACACTAGGACCCCTATGAGGTTAGCGCCAGATCTTAGCACACTCTCCAGGAGCCCACATGGCTCCAACTTCCTTGATCTGGTCTGGAAGCAATGGAATAGTATGCTTTCCTGAAACATTATGGTGGACTTGCCCCTGGAGCCCATTTATTGTCTGTGAATGTAAGTGTTTAAACAGTTGGCGATGGAAGGAGGCAGGAGAAGGGACAGAATTTTAATACTGCAGGTGACTCCATTTGTCATTCTGGCTTAGGGGTCAAAGGGAATATGAGGTGGGAAAGGCAAACAGGCTGACCATTCAGTGGTTTCAGGTTTTGTTTATGCTCTCATGCTGTGAGCATCTCGTCTTGGGAGCTGGCCATGCATTTCACATTCCTTTAAAATTTATTTGGGACTCGACATGGACCCTAAGACAGTCCACATATTTCCACTGACTTCTCTCCCGCCCCAGTTCTGTTCAATATTGGATGAAAAACTGGTTCCAGTAGACTTCCTGCAGCTGGCGTTGCAATTTATGGACAAAGGCGTTTTCAAGGTAATTTGGACCTCTGTTATTATTTGCTTAGGGGACTGCCTGGCATTTCAGCCCCATGTCAGCTGCAGCTCCATGCCTCACAATGGTGAATCAGTGGAATACGGTGTTACTGCAGGGCATGGCTATGTGTGTCAGAAGAGTCATTCATTGACAGGTACCGTGTGTGATTCTGAACAATTCTTCATTTCCTTGCATTATATAAAAAAGATTGATATAAATGTTTTCCATAATTCTTTGCCTATATTAACTACTTACATGTTAGATGTTAATACTTATATGGTTTTTATGAAAGAATTATTAAAACAAATGTTGATGTAGTAATAGCCATATCTAGTAAAGAAGAGAGCTGCCACTTCCGGCTCTTGCTTCATGTCCTGTATGTTTTCTTCTTATTTGTATTCATAACATGGGGAATCAGGTCATATATTCTTTACAGAGATCTAGACTTCTGATGAAGGCAATGTGCATACCTTTAACTATTTCTGTTTCAATAGTGTATGCCTATTTGTATAATGAATGATCTGGAATCTTAATGACCTACAAATACATATGTATTTAGTTCATAAGACTATGGGTCGGCTAGGCAGTTCTGGTGTCATGTGGGCTTATTTTGTGATCAGCTCTGGGTTTGATAAGCAACTGTTCTAATTTGGACAGGAATCACTTACATGTATGCATATAATTGACTGTAGGCTGGTATAGGATGGTCTTGGATGATACACTTGAACTGTCTTCCTGAAGGCTAGCTGGGGTTTGTATATAAGGTGGAGGCAGGGTTCTGAGGGACAGAGAAGATACACACAATGTCCCTTGAAAACTAGGCTCATAATGGCACAGTATCACTTTCTACATATTCTGTTATTTAAGCAAATAACAAAGCTGGGCTAGATTCAAGGGGGTGGAAAAAGAAACTCATCATCTTGATGAGATATGCTGCAAAGTTATATTTTTTAAGGAGCATGGATACAATAAGAACATAATTGGGATCTTTTCAAGGTTTATTTATTTTCATCTACTTGAAAAGCAGAGCAACATACACACAGCAGTGGGAAAAAGGAGGGAGAGGGAAAGGGAGAGGGAGAAGGAGGGGAGAAGGGAGAGGAGGAGGGAGAGGGGGAGGGGGAGGGGGAGGGGGAGGGAGAAGAGGAGGGAGAGGAGGAGGGAGAGAGAGAGGGGGAGGGAGAGAATCTTTTACCTGCTGTTTTGTTCCCCAAATGCTTGCAACAGCCAAGGTTGGACGCGACTGAAGCCAGGAGCTCAGTATTCAGCTTGGTTCTCCCACACAGATGGTGGGGCTCCTTGTATTGAGCCATCATTTGATTCTTTTCAGGAATCTGGGGTTGGAAGCAGAGGTTGGAAGCACTCTTGTATGGGATGTGGAGATTCCAAGGCATGGTTTAACCCATTGCTGCATATCTGCTCCATGGGGTCATTTTTAATGTTGGTTTTTATAACTTTAGCTGCATTGGTGTCTGTCAGTGGTTTCTGTTGTGTTCTCTAGAGAAATGTCTGTCTCCCCTGAAGAGAATTCAGGTTCTCCCGCAGGTTAACGGTGACTCATACATACAGGCCACCAGATTTTCCCCTTCGTCTCTTTCCGCCCCAAAGGATTGCTGTAATTAAGATAAAATTTTTAACAGAGATTCTGGGCCCATCATAACTTAACCTGGAGAGGAGAACATTTGTTTTGGATTTGGAATACAGTGATTTGCCTATTATAGACTTGTTATAGAATTGTGACCATCTGGACATGGCCTACATTTGCAAATGCATTTGTCAGTTAGGATTGTTCAAAAATGCAATTGCTGCCCAAAATAATGACAAAACAGTCTTTCATAATGATCAGAGGAGAGTAACATGGAAGAACATATGGCAAAAATATGAATTTTGATAGCCACAATGTAGTTTTTACTCTTTTCCTTATCAGTAGTAGAGGTGGTAGTTGTGTTGTGATGGTGGGGTATGTGAATGTGTGTGAACAAAGAAACTTAAGAGTAGCTCGTTCTCAACAGATGGCAGCCAAGAGGTCTACAGTGTTCTTGGGTCTGCTTCTGGTGGGGTTTTAGGTGCTGGTGTTAGGCAATGATGAGGAGGACTCTATTAGCTCTAGAGTTCAGGAGCAGGAAGCATGATTTTGATGCCATGTAACAAGGTCACCAGGACATGACAAATACAAATAATTCTATTAATTTTTATGGGAGTAGAAAATGCAATTTGTAGCCATGTGCTTTTATTTATTTATGTATTTTAAATTAATTGAATTCATTGAACTATAATACCATGACAGGTATATATATCATTAATATTTAGCATGATAAATTTTCTTTATATGAACACAACCATATAAGCAATACCTCTATCAATAAAAACAAAATACCACAGAAGTCCCTGTCTTCGAAATTACTACCACTTCTCAAAAGTAACCACAATAATGTTTTCTAACAGTATAATATTTTTTTTGCTTTAAATAGATGAAGTCATATATATATATATGTATATATATATATATATATCCTTTAAAACATTTTTGGTTTGGCCTCTTTCATTCAGAATAATGTTTTTGAGATTCGCCAAACTGAAGCATCTTTCAATAGTTGTTTCCTTTTCCACTGCTGCTAACATTCCATTTTATGAGTAATTCAGGATTTGTGTTCCCTTCATCTCTTGATGGATATCTACATTGTTTTGAGTCTTTGTCAATTATAACTAAACTATTGTGAACATTTTGTGGGCAAGTTTGTGTAAGAATATACATATATATGATTAATTCCTGTAAGTAGAATGACTGGGTTTTATGGTATTTATAGTTGCAATATTCTAAAGAAATGATAGAACTGTTTCTCAAAGTGATTATACTGTTTTACAAAAACCTATGAGACTTTTGTTGCTACACATCAATATTTGGTATGGCCAATCATTCTAATTTTACCCATTCCCATATGTGTGTAAAAATTGTGGTGTAAATTGCATTTTTCCAATGGCTGATGATTTTGAGCATCTCATTATGTGTGCATTTGTCATTTGTCTACCTTTCTTGGTAAAAAAGTATTTAAGCACATTATCTATTTTCTTATTAGGTCACTTTTATTATTGAGCTGTGATAATTCTCTGTTTTATGGATACATACCCTTTGATTTGTATTTTGAGAGTTTCGCTCAGTGAACAGCTTGCTTTTAAAATTTTATTACTAGTTTGGAAAGGTTTTTCCTTTTCTAAATTCATCAATCTTAATTTTTTGTGTTTCATTATTTGTGTTTTCTATATTGGAAAGCTTTGCCTACTTCAAGGTCACAAAGATACTCTCTTTCTCTCTCTCTCTCTTTTTTTTTTTTTTTTTAACAGTATTGGAGTTTTAGTTTCACATTTACATCTATGATTCATTTTGAGTAAATTTTTTTATGATGTAAGATAAAGATAAATTTTCTTCTTTTTTTCCTGCATGGATATCCGTTTACTAGTTTGCTAGTTTTTTCTTTAAAACTGCCTTAGAAATTTGTCAAAAATAAATTGGTCCAGCATGTGTAGCTCCACTTCCAGACTCTGTTGTGTTTCATTGATTACTATGTCTATCTTTTCATCAATATGAACTCATTTTGATCATAATAGCTTTAAATAAGTTCTGAGATCAGAACAAGCTCTCTAACTTTTTTCTTTTAAAATTATTTTTGATAGTCAAGGATCTTTGGAGTTCCAAATAAATCTTAGAATAAGTCTTCCAATGTCTACCAAAATCTCATGGAATTTTAACTCAGATTATATTAAAAATGAAGTCTGTACTTCAATTTTATGAGTTATCAGCTTCACAATATGAGTCTCCTAAGTATGAGCATGCTATATCTTTCCATTAATTTATGTTTCTTTAATGTCTCTCACAATTTCATAGTTTCAGGGGTCAAGATATTGGATGTCACTTGTTATATTTTAGTCCTAGATAGTTTACATTTTTTGATAGCACTGTAAACAGAATTTTGAAAATTTTACTTTGTAGTTGTTTGTTGCTAGTGATGAGATTATAATAGATTTAAAATAGTAACCTTGTGTCCTGAATTCTTGATAAATGATTTTAGTGGCTCTAATAATTGTTTTGTAGATGATTGGGGATTTTTCTATGTAAAAAAATCATATTTTACAAATAGAAATGGTTCTATTTTCCTTCCTAAAATTTAATGCTATTTTCTCAATATTTCTTATCTTATTGCAATTGCTAATACTGCTAGAATAATATAGAAAAGTGGTAAAAGCAAGCATCCTTCCTTTATTTTTGATGTCTAGGTGAAATAAGCACGCATTCATTGATTGAAAAACCTGAAACCAATGAATTGATTGAATGCATTCAGGTTTTTCATAGGTGCAGTTTTTTTTTTAAGATTTATTTATTTATTTGAAAGGCAGAGTTACAGAGAGGCAGATGGAGAGAGAGAGAGAGAGACAGAGAGGTAGAGAGGGGTTTTCCATCTGCTAGTTCACCCCCCAGATGGCCGCAACAGCCGGAGCTGTGCCAATCCATAGCCAGGAGCCAGGAGTCAGGCTCTTCTTCCGGGTCTTCCACGTGGTTCAGGGGCTCAAGGACTTGAGCCATCTTCTACTGCTTTCCCAGGCCCTAGCAGAGAGCTGGATTGGAAATGGAACAGCAGGACTTGAACCAGTGCCCATATGGGATGCTGGCACTGCAGGCGGTGGCTTTACCTACTATGCCACAGCACCAGCCCCAGATGATGAAGTGTTCTTGATTGCTTTGAGGGTGTTCAGCTAAAATTCCTTGTTTAGAATTTTTAAAATATCATAAATAGTGTTACATATTTTCAATTTTGTCTGCATATGTGAAAATGACTAAATGTTTTTTCTGCTTTTTTAAAAATATAGTGAATTTCACTAATTGATTTTAAAATGTAAAGCTAGGTTTTTTTTTTTTTTTTGCCAGAGTGTCTTGGCTTTCCATGCCTAAAATACTCTCATGGGCTCTTCAGCCAGATCCAAATGCCTTAAAGCCTGATTCTGAGGCCAGAGTGTTGTTGGGGACATCTGCCATTCTATGAGTCTGCTGTGTATCCTGCTTCCCGTGTTGGATCATTCTCTCCCTTTTTTATTCTATCAGTTAGTATTAGCAGACACTAGTATTGTTTGTGTGATCCCTTTGACTCTTAGACCTATCAT